CGCCATAACCTGCCAGTGTCAGGACAGTCGCCATAACCTGCCAGTGTCAGGACAGTCGCCATAACCTGCCAGTGTCAGGACAGTCGCCATAACCTGCCAGTGTCAGGACAGTCGCCATAACCTGCCAGTGTCAGGACAGTCGCCATAACCTGCCAGTGTCAGGGGGACAGTCGCCATAACCTGCCAGTGTCAGGACAGTCGCATAACCTGCCAGTGTCAGGACAGTCGCATAACCTGCCAGTGTCAGGACAGTCGCCATAACCTGCCAGTGTCAGGACAGTCGCCATAACCTGCCAGTGTCAGGACAGTCGCATAACCTGCCAGTGTCAGGGGGACAGTCGCATAACCTGCCAGTGTCAGGACAGTCGCCATAACCTGCCAGTGTCAGGACAGTCGCCATAACCTGCCAGTGTCAGGACAGTCGCCATAACCTGCCAGTGTCAGGACAGTCGCATAACCTGCCAGTGTCAGGGGGACAGTCGCATAACCTGCCAGTGTCAGGACAGTCGCCATAACCTGCCAGTGTCAGGACAGTCGCCATAACCTGCCAGTGTCAGGACAGTCGCCATAACCTGCCAGTGTCAGGACAGTCGCTATAACCTGCCAGTGTCAGGACAGTCGCATAACCTGCCAGTGTCAGGGGGACAGTCGCCATAACCTGCCAGTGTCAGGACAGTCGCATAACCTGCCAGTGTCAGGGGGACAGTCGCCATAACCTGCCAGTGTCAGGGCAGTCGCCATAACCTGCCAGTGTCAGGACAGTCGCCATAACCTGCCAGTGTCAGGGGGACAGTCGCCATAACCTGCCAGTGTCAGGGCAGTCGCCATAACCTGCCAGTGTCAGGGCAGTCGCCATAACCTGCCAGTGTCAGGGGGACAGTCGCCATAACCTGCCAGTGTCAGGAGGACAGTCGCCATAACCTGCCAGTGTCAGGGCAGTCGCCATAACCTGCCAGTGTCAGGGCAGTCGCCATAACCTGCCAGTGTCAGGGGAATGTCGCCATAACCTGCCAGTGTCAGGGGGACAGTCACCATAACCTGCCAGTGTCAGGGGGAATGTCGCCATAACCTGCCAGTGTCAGGAGGACAGTCGCCATAACCTGCCAGTGTGAGGGGGACAGTCGCCATAACCTGCCAGTGTCAGGACAGTCGCCATAACCTGCCAGTGTCAGGGGGGACAGTCGCCATAACCTGCCAGTGTCAGGAGGACAGTCGCCATAACCTGCCAGTGTCAGGGGGACAGTCGCCATAACCTGCCAGTGTCAGGGGAACAGTCACCATAACCTGCCAGTGTCAGGGGGAATGTCGCCATAACCCCTGCCAGTGTCAGGGGGACAGTCGCCATAACCTGCCAGTGTCTGGGGGAATGTCGCCATAACCTGCCAGTGTCAGGGGGAGAGTAGCCATAACCTGCCAGTGTCTGGGGGAATGTCGCCATAACCTGCCAGTGTCAGGGGGACAGTCGCCATAACCTGCCAGTGTCTGGGGGAATGTCGCCATAACCTGCCAGTGTCAGGGGGGGTGGAGAGTCGCCATAACCTGCTGTGTCAGGGGGGAAGAGTCGCCATAACCTGCTAGTGTCAGGGGGGAAGAGTCGCCATAACCTGCCAGTGTGAGGGGGACAGTTGCCATAACCTGCCAGTGTCAAGGGGGACAGTCGCCATAACCTGCCAGTGTCAGGGGGAATGTCGCCATAACCCCTGCCAGTGTCAGGGGACAGTCGCCATAACCTGCCAGTGTCTGGGGGAATGTCGCCATAACCTGCCAGTGTCAGGAGGACAGTCGCCATAACCTGCCAGTGTGAGGGGGACAGTCGCCATAACCTGCCAGTGTCAGGACAGTCGCCATAACCTGCCAGTGTCAGGGGGGACAGTCGCCATAACCTGCCAGTGTCAGGAGGACAGTCGCCATAACCTGCCAGTGTCAGGGGGACAGTCGCCATAACCTGCCAGTGTCAGGGGGACAGTCGCCATAACCCCTGCCAGTGTCAGGGGGACAGTCGCCATAACCTGCCAGTGTCTGGGGGAATGTCGCCATAACCTGCCAGTGTCAGGGGGAGAGTAGCCATAACCTGCCAGTGTCTGGGGGAAGTCGCCATAACCTGCCAGTGTCAGGGGGACAGTCGCCATAACCTGCCAGTGTCTGGGGGAATGTCGCCATAACCTGCCAGTGTCAGTCGCCATAACCTGCTGTGTCAGGGGGGAAGAGTCGCCATAACCTGCTAGTGTCAGGACAGTCGCCATAACCTGCCAGTGTCAGGACAGTCGCCATAACCTGCCAGTGTCAGGACAGTCGCCATAACCTGTCATTGTCAGGGGGACAGTCGCCATAACCTCTCAGTGTCAGGGTAACAGCCGCCATAACCTGCCAGTGTCAGGGGGACAGTCGCCATAACCTGCCAGTGTCAGGACAGTCGCCATAACCTGCCAGTGTCAGGGGGAATGTCGCCATAACCTGCCAGTGTCAGGACAGTCGCCATAACCTGCCAGTGTCAGGACAGTCGCCATAACCTGCCAGTGTCAGGACAGTCGCCATAACCTGCCAGTGTCAGGACAGTCGCCATAACCTGCCAGTGTCAGGACAGTCGCCATAACCTGCCAGTGTCAGGACAGTCGCCATAACCTGCCAGTGTCAGGGGGAATGTCGCCATAACCTGCCAGTGTCAGGACAGTCGCATAACCTGCCAGTGTCAGGACAGTCGCCATAACCTGCCAGTGTCAGGACAGTCGCCATAACCTGCCAGTGTCAGGACAGTCGCCATAACCTGCCAGTGTCAGGACAGTCGCCATAACCTGCCAGTGTCAGGACAGTCGCCATAACCTGCCAGTGTCAGGACAGTCGCCATAACCTGCCAGTGTCAGGACAGTCGCCATAACCTGCCAGTGTCAGGACAGTCGCATAACCTGCCAGTGTCAGGGGGACAGTCGCCATAACCTGCCAGTGTCAGGACAGTCGCCATAACCTGCCAGTGTCAGGACAGTCGCCATAACCTGCCAGTGTCAGGACAGTCGCCATAACCTGCCAGTGTCAGGACAGTCGCCATAACCTGCCAGTGTCAGGACAGTCGCATAACCTGCCAGTGTCAGGACAGTCGCCATAACCTGCCAGTGTCAGGACAGTCGCATAACCTGCCAGTGTCAGGGGACAGTCGCCATAACCTGCCAGTGTCAGGGCAGTCGCCATAACCTGCCAGTGTCAGGACAGTCGCCATAACCTGCCAGTGTCAGGGGGACAGTCGCCATAACCTGCCAGTGTCAGGGCAGTCGCCATAACCTGCCAGTGTCAGGGCAGTCGCCATAACCTGCCAGTGTCAGGGGGACAGTCGCCATAACCTGCCAGTGTCAGGAGGACAGTCGCCATAACCTGCCAGTGTCAGGGCAGTCGCCATAACCTGCCAGTGTCAGGACAGTCGCCATAACCTGCCAGTGTCAGGGGGAATGTCGCCATAACCTGCCAGTGTCAGGGGGGACAGTCGCCATAACCTGCCAGTGTCAGGGGGGAGAGTCACCATAACCTGCCAGTGTCAGGGGGACAGTCGCCATAACCTGCCAGTGTCAGGGGGTCAGTCGCCATAACCTGCCAGTGTCAGGGGGACAGTCGCCATAACCTGCCAGTGTCAGGGGGACAGTCGCCATAATCTGCCAGTGTCAGGGGGACAGTCGCCATAACCTGCCAGTGTCAGGGGGACAGTCACCATAACCTGCCAGTGTCAGGGGGACATTCGCCATAACCTGCCAGTGTCAGGAGGACAGTCGCCATAACCTGCCAGTGTCAGGGGGACAGTCGCCATAACCTGCCAGTGTCAGGGGGACAGTCGCATAACCTGCCAGTGTCAGGGGGACAGTCGCCATAACCTGCCAGTGTCAGGGGGAATGTCGCCATAACCTGCCAGTGTCAGGAGGGACAGTCGCCATAACCTGCCAGTGTCAGTGTCTGGGGGAATGGGGGAGAGTCAGTGTGAGGGGGACAGTTGCCATAACCTGCCAGTGTCAGGGGGGAGAGTCAGCCGCCATAACCTGCCAGTGTCAGTCGCCATAACCTGCCAGTGGATAGTCGCCATAACCTGCCAGTGTCAGGGGGCCAGTCGCCATAACCCCTGCCAGTGTCAGGGGGACAGTCGCCATAACCTGCCAGTGTCTGGGGGAATGTCGCCATAACCTGCCAGTGTCAGGGGGAGAGTCGCCATAACCTGCCAGTGTCTGGGGGAATGTCGCCATAACCTGCCAGTGTCAGGGGGACAGTCGCCATAACCTGCCAGTGTCTGGGGGAATGTCGCCATAACCTGCCAGTGTCAGGGGGGGTGGAGAGTCGCCATAACCTGCTGTGTCAGGGAGGGAAGAGTCGCCATAACCTGCTAGTGTCAGGGGGGGAAGAGTCGCCATAACCTGCCAGTGTGAGGGGGGACAGTTGCCATAACCTGCCAGTGTCAAGGGGGACAGTCGCCATAACCTGTCATTGTCAGGGGGACAGTCGCCATAACCTCTCAGTGTCAGGGTAACAGCCGCCATAACCTGCCAGTGTCAGGGGGACAGTCGCCATAACCTGCCAGTGTCAGGAGGATAGTCGCCATAACCTGCCAGTGTCAGGAGGAACAGTCGCCATAACCTGCCAGTGTCAGGGGGACAGTCGCCATAACCTGCCAGTGTCAGGGGGACAGTCACCATAACCTGCCAGTGTCAGGGGGACAGTCGCCATAACCTGCTAGTGTCATGGGGGGGGGAGAGTCGCCATAACCTGCCAGTGTCAGGGGGACAGTCGCCATAACCTGCTAGTGTCAGGGGGGGGGAGAGTCGTCATAACCTGCCAGTGTCTGGGGCTCAGTCGCCATAACGTGTCATTGTCAGAGGGACAGTCGCCATAACTTGCCATTGTCAGGGGGACAGTCGCCATAACCTGCTAGTGTCAGGGGGGGGGGAGAGTCGCCATAACCTGCCAGTGTCTGGGGCTCAGTCGCCATAATGTGTCATTGTCAGAGGGACAGTCGCCATAACTTGCCATTGTCAGGGGGACAGTCGCCATAACCTGCTAGTGTCAGGGGGAACAGTCGCCATAACCTGACCACTGGCTAGACGACCACTGGCCGGATGACCACTGGCCAGATGACCACTGGCCAGACGACCACTGGCCAGACGACCACTGGCCAGACGACCACTGGCCAGACGACCACTGGCAGGACGGCCACTGGCCGTACGACCACTGGCCAGACGACCACTAGCCGTACGACCACTGGCCAGACGACCACTGACCAAACGACCACTGGCCAGACGACCACTGGCCGGACGACCACTGGCCAGACGACCACTGGCCGGACGACCACTGGCCGGACGACCACTGGCCAGACGACCACTGGCCAGACGACCACAACTGGCCACACGACCACCACTGGCCAGACGTCTACTGGCCAGACGACCACTGGCCGGACGACCACTGGCCAGACGTCCACTGGCCAGACGACCACTGGCCAGACGACCACTGGCCAGACGACCACTGGCCGGACGACCACTGGCCGAACGATTACTGGCTGGACGACCACTGGCCGGACGACCACTGGCCGGACGACCACTATCCGGACGACCACTGACCGGACGACCACTGGCGGTACGACCACTGGCCGGACGACCACTGGTCAGACGACCACTGGCCAGACGACCACTGGCCGAACGACCACTGGCTGGACGACCACTGGCCGGACGACCACTGGCCGGACGACCACTATCCGGACGACCACTGACCGGACGACCACTGGCGGTACGACCACTGGCCGGACGACCACTGGGCGGACGACCACTGGCCAGACGACCACTGGCCGGACGACCACTAGCCGTACGACCACTGGCCAGACGACCACTGACCAAACGACCACTGGCCGGACGACCACTGGCCGGACGACCTCTGGCTGGACGACCACTGGCTAGACGACCACCGGCTGGACGACCACTGGCAAGACGACCACCACTGGCCACACGACCACCACTGGCCAGACGTCTACTGGCCAGACGACCACTAGCCGGACGACCACTGGCCGGACGACCACTGGCCGGACGATCACTGGCCGGATGACCACTGGCTGGACGACCACTTGTCGGAAAATCCGACACCATTTAAAAATCATACAGATAATAGCTGTATTGTATAAAGAAGTTAACCATAGAAAACGTAACTTGTAGTGGAATTATCGTCTATAGAAAACGGGATATCATCACCACATACTATTATAAATCACCACCTATTATGGTGGGAATTATTCTTAAATACATTAGTCTTTGGACTTTACCATCATAAAAACATTTCATATAAATTAACTTAATTATCAGTATTAAAGTAGAGTAAATGTGACCCTTCTATCACTTATTGACATCTGGACAATGTAAGCTAGGCGTCAGAGTGAGGAAGGAGCAGCGATTGTTTATACTAGACCAGAGGCGCAGGGAGCAATTCGGCTCCTGTTAATTTTACTTGGACGAAGTGTTATGGAAACCAAAGGTGTACCATTATCACACGCTGTCAACAAATTCAAGTTAAGTGTTCTTTCCGAAACCCATGTATCTTTCATTTATGGCCATTAATGTCATTATATAGGGTGACCCGGTTAGAGCACGTGGTAGCCTCAAACTAAAGGTAATTAAGCCAGGTCTTTATTGTTCCATGTACAGTGTTTCTCTGATATACCTGTCATATATAGGATTCTGGCTTTACAGCTAGCGCCCTTTTAACAGGTCAAGACGAGGAAGCAAGGCTTTGTGCATCAGTTACCAGGGTGATGGAAGCTACCTCAAAGAGGGAAAATGTGGTGTCTACACCCCAGTTATACCTGGTGGACTAACCTGCTGTACTATAAGATAAGGAACCTCTTCAATGTATGTAGTTAATACTGTAGTTTGATTGGCTGCATATATATAAATTTAATAAACCCCCCTAATGTGTAGAGGATCGATTTGTGAGATTATGAGATTATTGCAGAAATACAGTCCACTTATCATTATACAAATTGCTATCGAAGTATATAAATTAACGTAAATATAAATTCTATATATATTCATATAAATTAAATAAATATAAATCTCACAGGTCGGTTCCCACACCACTGGCCGTACGACCACTGACCGGACGAGCACTGGCTGGACGACCACTGGCCAGACGACCACTCATCAGACGACCACTGGCCAGACGACCACTGGCCAGACGACCACTGGCCAGACGACCACTGGCCAGATGTCCACTGGCCAGACGACCACTGACCAGACGACCACTGGCCGGACGACCACTGGCCAGACGACCACTGGCCAGACGACCACTGGCCAGACGACCACTGGCCAGACGACCACTGGCCAGACGACCACTGGCCAGACGACCACTCATCAGACGACCACTGGCCAGACGACCACTGGCCAGACGACCACTGGCCAGACGACCACTGGCCAGACGATCACTGGCCAGACGACCACTGGCCAGACGACCACTGGCCAGACGTCCACTGGCCAGACGACCACTGGCCAGACGACCACTGGCCAGACGATCACTGGCCAGACGTCCACTGGCCAGACGACCACTGGCCAGACGACCACTGGCCAGACGACCACTGGCCAGACGACCACTGGCCAGACGACCACTGGACAGACGACCACTCATCAGACGACCACTGGCCAGACGACCACTGGCCAGACGACCACTGGCCAGACGACCACTGGCCAGACGACCACTGGACAGACGACCACTCATCAGACGATCACTGGCCAGACGACCACTGGCCAGACGACCACTGGCCAGACGACCACTGGCCAGACGACCACTGGCCAGACGACCACTGGCCAGACGACCACTCATCAGACGACCACTGGCCAGACGACCACTGGCCAGACGACCACTGGACTGACGACCACTGGCCAGACGACCACTGGCCAGACGTCCACTGGCCAGACGACCACTGGCCAGACGACCACTGGCCAGACGATCACTGGCCAGACGTCCACTGGCCAGACGACCACTGGCCAGACGACCACTCATCAGACGACCACTGGCCAGACGACCACTGGCCAGACGACCACTGGCCAGACGACCACTGGCCAGACGACCACTGGCCAGACGACCACTGGCCAGACGACCACTGGCCAGACGACCACTGGCCAGACGACCACTGGCCAGACGACCACTGGCCAGACGACCACTGGACAGACGACCACTCATCAGACGACCACTGGCCAGACGACCACTGGCCAGACGACCACTGGTCAGACGACCACTGGCCAGACGATCACTGGCCAGACGACCACTGGCCAGACGACCACTGGCCAGACGTCCACTGGCCAGACGACCACTGGCCAGACGACCACTGGCCAGACGATCACTGGCCAGACGTCCACTGGCCAGACGACCACTGGCCAGACGACCACTGGCCAGACGACCACTGGCCAGACGACCACTGGCCAGACGACCACTGGACAGACGACCACTCATCAGACGACCACTGGCCAGACGACCACTGGCCAGACGACCACTGGCCAGACGACCACTGGCCAGACGACCACTGGACAGACGACCACTCATCAGACGATCACTGGCCAGACGACCACTGGCCAGACGACCACTGGCCAGACGACCACTGGCCAGACGACCACTGGCCAGACGACCACTGGCCAGACGACCACTGGCCAGACGACCACTGGCCAGACGACCACTCATCAGACGACCACTGGCCAGACGACCACTGGCCAGACGACCACTGGACTGACGTCCACTGGCCAGACGACCACTGGCCAGACGACCACTGGCCAGACGACCACTGGCCAGACGACCGCTGGACAGACGTCCACTGGCCAGACGACCACTGGACAGACGTCCACTGGCCAGACGACCACTCATCAGACGACCACTGGCCAGACGACCACTGGCCAGACGACCACTGGCCAGACGACCACTGGCCAGACGACCACTGGCCAGACGACCACTGGCCAGACGACCACTGGCCGGACGACCACTGGCCAGACGACCACTGGACAGATGTCCACTGGCCAGACGACCACTGGCCAGACGACCACTGGCCAGACGACCACTGGCCAGACGACCACTGACCAGACGACCACTGGCCAGACGACCACTGGCCAGACGACCACTGGCCAGACGACCACTCATCAGACGACCACTGGCCAGACGACCACTGGCCAGACGACCACTGGCCAGACGACCACTGGCCAGACGACCACTGGCCAGACGACCACTGACCAGACGACCACTGGCTAGACGACCACTGGCCAGACGACCACTGGCCAGACGACCACTGGCCAGACGTCCACTGGCCAGACGACCACTGGCTAGACAACACCTGGTTCTGCCAAGTGTTGCTGGCCAGGTGTGTGGTCCTGTCAGGATTTGCAGGCCAGGTGTGTGGTCGTACCATGTGTTGCAGGCCAGGTGTGTGGTCGTACCATGTGTTGCAGGCCAGGTATGTGGCCCTACCAGGTGTTGCAGGCCAGGTATGTGGCCCTACCATGTGTTGCAGGCCAGGTGTGTGGTCCTACCATGTGTTGCAGGCCAGGTGTGTGGTCCTACCATGTGTTGCAGGCCAGGTATGTGGCCCTACCATGTGTTGCAGGCCAGGTCTGTAGTCCTACCATGTGTTGCAGGCCAGGTCTGTGGCCCTACCATGTGTTGCAGGCCAGGTCTGTGGTCCTACCTGGTGTTGCAGGCCAGGTCTGTGGTCCTACCATGTGTTGCAGGCCAGGTCTGTGGTCCTACCTGGTGTTGCAGGCCAGGTCTGTGGTCCTACCATGTGTTGCAGGCCAGGTCTGTGGCCCTACCAGGTGTTGCAGGCCAGGTAAGTGTCGCTTCCATGTGTTGCAGGCCATGTCTGTGGCCCTACCAGGTGTTGCAGGCCAGGTAAGTGGCCCTACCTGGTGTTGCAGGCCAGGTGTGTGGTCCTACCATGTGTTGCAGGCCAGGTCTGTGGTCCTACCTGGTGTTGCAGGCCAGGTGTATGGTCCTACCATGTGTTGCAGGCCAGGTCTGTGGTCCTACCTGGTGTTGCAGGCCAGGTCTGTGGCCCTACCATGTGTTGCAGGCCAAGTGTGTGGTCCTACCTGTGTTGCAGGCCAGGTATGTGGCCCTACCAGGTGTTGCAGGCCAGGTCTGTGGTCCTACCTGTGTTGCTGGCCAGGTGTGTGGCCCTAACAAGGCCACACCTGGTAGGTATCCAGTGTTGTAAGGTGCACTTCCCGCAGCTTTTCTTCGTAACTCATGCCTCTTAGTTCTGGGACTAGTCTAGTGGCATACCTTTGGACTTTTCCAGCTTCGTCTTGTGCTTGACAAGGTACGGGCTCCATGCTGGGGCCGCATACTCCAGGATTGGTCTTACATATGTGGTGTACTAGATTCTGAATGATTCCTTACACAGGTTCCTGAACGCCGTTCTGATGTTAGCCAGCCTCGCATATGTCGCAGACGTTATTCATTTTATGTGGGCTTCAGGAGACAGGTTTGGTGTGATATCAACTCCTAGATCTTTCTCTCTGTCCGTTTCATTAAGTACTTCATCTCCTGTTCTGTATCCTGTGTCTGGCCTCCTGTTTCCACCGCCTAGTTTCATTACTTTGCATTTACTCGGGTTGAACGTCAACAGCCATTTGTTAGACCATTCACTCAGTCTGTCTAGGTCATCTTGTAGCCTCCTACTATCATCCTCAGTTTCAATCCTCCTCATAATTTTTGCATCATCGGCAAATATTGAGAGAAACGATTCTATACCCTCTGGGAGATCATTTACATATACCAGAAACAGTATAGGTCCAAGGACTGACCCCTGCGGGACTCCACTCGTAACGTCTCGCCAATCTGAGACCTCACCCCTCACACTGACTCGTTGTCTCCTGTTACGTAGGTACTCCTGTATCCAACGGAGTACCTTCCCTTTCACTCCAGCCTGCATCTTCAGCTTTTTCACTAGCCTCTTGTGTCGTACAGTATCAAAGGCTTTCTGGCAATCCAAAAATATGCAGTCTGCCCACCCTTCTCTTTCTTGCCTTATTTTTGTTGCCTGGTCGTAGAATTCAAGTAACCCTGTGAGGCAGGACCTGCCATCCCTGAACCCATGTTGATGCTGTGTTACAAAGTTCTTTCGCTCCAGATGCTCCACTAGTTTTTTTCGCACAATCTTCTCCATCAGCTTGCATGGTATGCAGGTTAGTGACACTGGCCTGTAGTTCAGTGCCTCCTGTCTATCCCCTTTCTTGTATATCGGGACTACGTTAGCTGCTTTCCAAATTTCTGACAGTTCCCCTGTTGCCAGTGATTTGTTATACAATGAGAGTGGTAGGCACAGTTCTTCTGCTCCTTCCTTTAGTATCCAAGGGGAGATTCCATCTGGGGCTATAGCCTTTGTCACATCCAACTCTAGTAAACACTTCCTTACTTCCCCACTGGTAATCTCAAACTCTTCCAGTGGTTCCTGGTTAGCTATTCCCTCTCTTATCTCTGGAATTTCTCCTTGCTCTAAGGAGAAGACCTCCTGGAATTTCTTATTCAGTTCCTCACACACCTTGTCGTTTGTAGTGAATCCTTCTGCCCCTATCCTTAATTTCATAACCTGTTCCTTTACTGTTGTTTTTCTCCTGATGTGGCTATGCAGCAATTTAGGCTGAGTCTTTGCCTTGCTTGCGATGTCATTTTCGTATTGCAGGCAGGTGTGCAGGCCAGGTGTGTGGTCCTACCAGGTGTTGCAGGCCAGGTGTGTAGTCCTACCTGTGTTACAGGTGAGGTGTGTAGTCCTACCTGTGTTGCAGGCCAGGTGCACTCACCTAATTGTACTCACCTAGTTGTGCTTGCGGGGGTTGAGCTCTGGCTCTTCCATTTATCAACCACTCTGACACTAAAAAGGTTCTTTCTAATATCTCTGTGGCTCATTTGGGTACTCAGTTTCCACGTGTGACCCCTAGTGCGTGTGCCCCTTGTGTTAAATAACCTGTCTTTATCTACCCTATCGATTCCCTTGAGAATCTTGAATGTGGTGATCATGTCCCCCCCTAACTCTTCAGTCTTCCAACGAAGTGAGGATTAATTCCCGTAGTCTCTCCTCGTAGCTCATACCTCTCGGCTCGGGTACTAGTCTGGTGATAAACCTTTGAACCTTTTCCAGTTTAGTCTTATGCTTGACTAGATATGGACTCCATGCTGGAGCCGCATACTCCAGGATTTGTCTGACATATGTGGTATATAATGTTCTGAATGATTCTTTACACAAGTTTCTGAATGCCATTCGTATGTTGGCCAGCCTGGCATATGCCGCTGATATTATCCTCTTGATATATGCTGCAGGAGACAGGTCTGGCGTGATATCAACCCCTAAGTCTTTTTCTTTCTCTGACTCCTGAAGAATTTCCTCTTCCAGATGATACCTTGTATCTGGCCTCCTGCTCCCTAAACCTATCTTCATTACATTACATTTGGTTGGGTTAAACTCTAACAACCATTTGTTTGACCATTCCTTCAGCTTGTCTAGATCTTCTTGAAGCCTCAAACAGTCCTCTTCTGTCTTAATCCTTCTCATAATTTTGGCATTGTCCGCAAACATTGAGAGAAATGAATCTATACCCTCCGTGAGATCATTTACATATATCAGAAACAAGATAGGACCGAGTACAGAGCCCTGTGGGACTTCACTGGTGACTTCACGCCAGTCTGGGGTCTCACCCCTCACTGTAACTCTCTGCTTCCTATTGCTTAGGTACTCTCTTATCCACTGGAGCACCTTACCAGCTACACGTGCCTGTCTCTCCAGCTTATGTACCAGCCTCTTATGCGGTACTGTGTCAAAGGCTTTCCTACAATCCAAGAAACTGCAGTCCGCCCAGCACTCTCTCTTTCTTGCTTAATCTTTGTCACCTTGTCATAGAATTCTGTTAAGCCAGTCAGGCAAGATTTACCCTCCTTGAACCCATGTTGGTGATTTGTCACGAAGTCCCTTCTCTCCAGATGTGCTACCAGGTTTTTTCTCACGATCTTCTCCATCGCCTTGCATAATATACAAGTTAAGGACACTGGCCTGTAGTTCAGTGCTTCTTGCCTGTCGCCCTTTTTGTATATTGGGACCACATTCGCCGTCTTCCATATTTCTGGTAGGTCTCCCGTCTCTAGTGACTTACTATACACTATGGAGAGTGGCAAGCAAAGTGCCTCTGCACACTCTTTCAGTCCCCATGGCGAGATCCCGTCTGGACCAACAGCCTTTCTAACATACAGATCCAGCAGGTGTCTCTTGACCTCCTCTCTCGTAATTTCGAACCCTTCTAAGGCCGCCTGGATTATTTCCTTTTCTCCTAGCACAGTGACCTCACCTTGTTTTACTGTGAAGACCTCCTGGAATCTCTTGTTGAGTTCTTCACACACCTCTTTGTCATTCTCTGTATACCTGTCCTCGCCTGTTCTAAGTTTCACTACCTGTTTTTTCACTGTTGTTTTCCTTCTGATGTGACTGCTGAGTAGCTTTGGTTCGGTCTTGGCTTTGTTTTCTATATCATTTTCATAACTTTTCTCTGCTTCTCTTCTCACCCTGACATACTCATTCCTGGTTCTCTGGTATCTCTCTCTGCTTTCTGGTGTTCTGTTATTCCGGAAGTTCCTCCCCGCCCTTTTGTTCAGTTTCTTTGCTTCCATACATGCCCTGTTATACCATGGATTCTTCTTTTGCTTCACGGATTTTTCCTTTTGGGCCGGGATGTATCTGCTTACTGCCTCCTGACACTTATGGGTGACATAGTCCATCATACCCTGTACAGACTTAGCTCTGAGGTCTGTGTCCCTTAGGAAGCTTCTCATCTCCTCATAATTTCCCTTTCGGTATGCCAGCCTTTTGTTTCCTAGTTCTTTTTTTTTTTTGGGGGGGGGGGGATAATTCCTAGGTCTACCAGGTACTCAAAGTTCAATACACTGTGATCACTGCCAGGTCCAACCAGGTGTTGCAGGCCAGGTGTGTGGTCTTACCTCGCGTTGCAGGCCAGGTGTGTAGTCCTACATGTGTTGCAGGCCAGGTGTGTGGTCCTACCATGTGTTGCAGGCCAGGTGTGTGGTCTTACCATGTGTTGCAGGCCAGGTGTGTGGTCTTACCTGTGTTGCAGGCCAGGTGTGTAGTCCTACATGTGTTGCAGGCCAGGTGTGTGGTCTTACCGCGTGTTGCAGGCCAGGTGTGTGGTCTTACCTGTGTTGCAGGCCAGGTGTGTGGTCCTACCATGTGTTGCAGGCCAGGTGTGTGGTCCTACCATGTGTTGCAGGCCAGGTGTGTGGTCTTACCGTGTGTTGCAGGCCAGGTGTGTGGTCCTACCTGGTGTTGCAGGCCAGGTGTGTAGTCCTACCATGTGTTGCAGGGCAGGTGTGTGGTCCTACCAGGTGTAGTAGGCCAGGTGTGTGGTC